GGACAGAGAAAGACAAAACCAAGGGGGGTTCGGGGGGGCCAGGGCCCAAGAGCTTATGACTGTCCACTTACTTGTAGGTGCCCTCAAGTTGGAAGCCACTCTCTTTATCAGCTCTCTCTTTTACTCAGAATTATTTAAGCATTATTATACACTTACAAGTACATATATATTTTTATATACATGGAATAGGTAACTGAGGACAATTGCTTACTGGACAATTATTTTCTAGAAGAGTGAAGTATGGAAAATAACAGATCAGTTTACAAGATAAAAACTATACATGGACATAAAGGGTGAATATAGGTTTTCATAATCAAAAACAGTAACTTCACCCCTCTCTTCCTGCCCAGGTGTTCACCATAGGGCAAAAAAGATCAATAAAGGACAGAGCTGCAGGGCACTGTTTCCTAGACTGTCCGGGAGAGAAAGGATGGGAAACCAATAGGCACTTTGGTACATTGGCTACAGTGCCTTCCTGTGTCTGTGACAGCCCCAAAGCCCTGCGTGGTTCTGCCTCTGTCTGTCTGTCTATGTATCTATCTAATGGAGGAGGACTGTAGTCTGTCTATCTCTTGTAGGAGGAGGAGGAGCCTAGTGCATCTGTCTATTTTTCTATCAAATGCAGGTGGAAGAGAAGTCTAGTATGTCTGTCTATTTGTCTCTGTCTGTCTATCTATAGGAGGAGTTGTTTGGTGTGTCTATCTACCTAATTGAGGAGGAGGAGGAGGCTAGTGCATTTGTCTATCTATGTTTCAGGCACACCAAGTCAGGGCAGAGGACAGACACCCACACTTGGACACAGCGAGTCAGGGAAAGAGGACAAAGACACCCCACACTCAGACACAGCGAGTCGGGAAAGAGGAAGAACACACCCCACACTGAGACACAGCGTGTCAGGGAAAGATGACCAGGACACCCCACACTCAGACACGGCGAGGCAGGGACAGAGGATAGAGACCCCCGACACTCAGACACTCTGTCCTGGGAAGGTCCCACAGAGTCCCACTCATTTCAAAAGGACTTACCCAAAATATATAAAGAATTTATACAAATCACAAAAAAAATGACACAAAATTATGTTTTTTTAATGAGCAGATTTGAAGAGGCACCTCATAGCAGAAGATACTCAAATGACCAATTAACTTCTGGAAGCCAAAATGGGAAACCAGTGCAGATGGAAGAATGATTAACATTAAAAAGACTGAAAATTGAAAAAAAAAGAAGAAATGGGGGAGTAAGACTATATATTCATATTTGCCAAGTGAGAAACCAGTAACAAGGGTTACATGCGGTGTGCAAGGAATGGATGGGAAGAGGGGTGAAGAGAGGTTTCTCAGTGCACAGTCTTCATGTTCTTTTGATTTTTGAATCACGCCAATGCATTTTCTATCAAGAATAAGAACAAGACATATTTAGAAGATGAAATAGGGACAAAAGGGGCAGTGATGGATACGTTGCCCCGTTCCCCCTTTCTACCATTAACTCCCCACCTCCACCCCACCAACAACTTCATGGATCTCTCAGGTTGTGTTTCAATCTGAAGTTAACTGGGATAAACCTAACCCTCCAATAGCTCTCTCTTTACATGGATTCACTTAATATTCCTAACAACCTAATCATGTAGATTTCATCATTAACATCCTCCTTTTTCAAAAGAGCAGAGGCTGTGAGAGGTAAAGTCACCGACTTAAGATCTCATGCAGCCAGGAAATCGAATTCGAACCCATTGTCTATCAAATCCTGGCTCTCCCAATATCTTTGTACAAATATCTTTGAACACTTGTTCTATTCTTTTTTTCACCTCTTTTGTTTACATCATTAGAAGTGGGTGCACTGGGTCAAGGAACTTGCACTTTTAATGTTTTCTTTTCTTTTAATTAAAGAATGCCAAAATGTCATTATGTAAATTTGCATTATTTTACATTTCCACCATAAGGGCGTGAGAATGCCTGTATCCTCATACGATGGGCAATATAGAGCAGCAGCAAAATTTAATCTTCTCCTTAAGCTACCTGACGAAATACGGTTTATCACTATTGTTTTCATTAGCTGCTTAGCACTGAAAAGCTCAGCGACCCTCTGGGGGACCCACCTGCCCAACGCAAGGGAGCCCCCCGGCGCCTCTGCGCCGTCCGCACCCGCCTGGGGAGCGCGCCGGCCGCCGCGCGCCGCCCTCCTCTGGGCCTAATCGGGTTCCCAGGCGCAGTGCGCACGCGCGCGCTTCGCCCCAGGTGTCCAGCTTTGTGCCTGATCGCTGTCTCCACGGCCGCGTCCGGGGGCAGCTTTTAACCCGGGCTGGTCTTCGGGGAAGAGCAGCGTGTCCCCCGGACCCAGCGCGCCTCTGGGCCTCAGCGGCGAGAGGGCCCGGGGCGGGGGGCCTGCGGGTGTCGGGCGGCGCGTCGGGCAGCCCACGCGGGCGGGGCGGGCCCGCCGCTCGGGCCTGGGCGTCGGTCGCCGGTGGGGCCGGAGCCCGGCGCGGAGCCCCGCGCGGAGCCCCTGGCAGGACAGGTAGGGAGGCGGCGACGCTGGCAACCGTCTCCTCCCCACCCCGTGTCGGCGAGGCTCCCGGCGGTGCACTGGGGGCTCGGAGCGCGGCGGGGCGCGGCCGGGAGCCGGGGCCGCGGGGCGGGGGCGGCGGGGGTGGGCGCCCGCCGGGGTCTGGGCCGGTCCCACCCGCCCGAGCTCCCTAGCCTGGCGGTGTTCTCCCGGGGTCAGAGTGCTTGTGCCTCCAGTTCTTCCGAAACTGCCAGGGTTCCTCTCCATTCGTGGGAGTGTCCGAGGCATCCCTGAACCCATTTCGAGCTACAGGTTTCCTGGGGCGCATAGTTGAGAAGTTGTGTCAAACGGAAAAAAAAAAAAAACCCAAAACAACATAACAAAAAAACAGCCCAAATAGAGGATTCAAGCTTGGGGGCCTGGATGTGCGTTTAGTGTGTCTGTTTCCTACTCACTCCTGGGCCCCGCCTTACCTGGAAGGATGACCCTTGGGAAGTCGTCTTGCGCATTCTCCCAAAAAATCACTCAGACAAGGAACTCTGCTGTTGTTAAAGAGGCGGTGATGTGGAAACTTGCCTTCATTTTTACAGTGAGCAGAGCAGCACTCCCATATTGACGACTTACGAATGCAGTGTGCTTAAGGTCCTGAGAGTCGAGGAGCTCTGAGGTGGAGACTGACACTCTACCTGACGCACTGCCAAAGTCCAAGCCACGGGACGTTAAGGATAGTAGTTGACGGTAACTGTTTTCAAAAGGCGTTTTGTGCTCAAATATGTTTAGAAACTTCATGGTTAGAGTTTTCTCTGCTGTAGAATGTTTCAGTTTTCAATATGCTAATAATATTTACCTTGAACTTCCCACTGGAAGTAAACAGTATAAAGAGTTTCCCAGATTTGAATGGAAAATACTGTTTTTCTTGGGCACTGTTTCCGTTTAACATATGAAACCGTTTGGGAAATGGAGTTCCAGCATCGGAAACTCATGGTTTGGAAGGGTGTAGTGTAGGTCAGTGCTTTTTGAACTTCAGTGGCGCATGCATCTGGCCGAGGGGAGGAGGGGGGGTTTCTTGTTCAGTAAAATACAGATTTGGTTCCCAGGTGACGCTGAAGCTGCTGGTCCGTGGACCACACACTTTGAGCAGCAAGGATGTGGATCACTGGATTGAAGGAGACCGTGCTCTGCGCCCTGCTCTCCACAGCAAACTGGGCTGCTTCTGAGTGATCGCTTCCCTGTCCAGGCCTATAAAATAGCAGACTGGACTAGAAGATCTCTAAGATTCCTTTCAGATCTAACATGCTGTGATTCTAGTCTGGTTACCCCTGTGACAGTTGAGTAAACTATCCTTGCCCAGTGGCCAGTCTGGACTTGCACATTTCTAATAGTGGGGAAATTACTGCATGTATATAAGGCATCCATCCCGTTTCATCTTGGAATCTCTCAGTAAGGAACTTTTTCGTTTTGTTGAAATACATCTCTGCAGCTTCCATACTTTTGGTCCTAGGTTATCTGTTAGAATTCAACAGAAAAGGAAAATGCAATCCTCATTTAAATAGGTGACTCTTAAAGTGTGAGATGACGGTGTTTCTCCCTAGTTTCCCCAGACTGCATTGTCCTTTACTCTTCCATGATGTTGTTCCAGATCCCTCTCTTAAATTTAGTCCTTCTGCAGTGTGGTGTAGTGGGGCTGTAGCTGGACTTTGAAGGGTGGGTGGGGCTTGCAAAACTGGGGAAAGCATCCTGAGCAGCAGACGGTGGTGCAGAGATGACACTGCATTTGTCAGATCCAGGATTGTTTGATTAAAGCAAGAAATGGTAAGATTTCTTACAGTGAGATTGTAAGGTTACTTACAATGAAAGACTTTGGGCAAAGCAGTATTTTAGAGTGTGTGGTTGTCTTACTATGGTGGGCAATGTGGTTGGAAATGGAGAAGCAGCAAGGCAGGGGGCCAGGTCTATTTCATCGATCAGCAAAGAGGACTTATGTTGATGGTAACAGTAATGCCTTATATTTATGTGTGAGATTTTACAGATTACAGAAGGCAGTCTTTCTTGGGAGGTGGGCAGAGCAGCTGTGACCCCATTTTGTAGAGGAGGCACCAAAGAGGGTAGATGATTTGCCTTAATTTGCAAAGCTATTGAGTGGCTGACCAAAGTGAAGACAGTGGTGATGGAGGAGGAAGGAAGGATGCGGGAGAAATACCGAGGAAGAAGTGATAAGTTGGGCCTGATTGACCAGGAGGGTACAAAGGAAAAGAAGTGGTCAGGGAGGAGTCAGACTAGTTGGGAAAATCGTAAGGCAGAATTGCCAGCTGCTGTGGGTTGCACTCTGCCGGCTGTCCCATTCGCTGGTGGCCGCCTGGAGTTACAGGTTGGGAGGGACCGCGGTGGAGGACTCCCTGGGTGTTCAGCCTGCCTACAGCCGGGGGTGCTGTGGGGGCTGGGGCTCTCTGTCCCACACCAAGGGCGTGGAAACTGGACCCTCAGTGTCCCCTGAGGAGGTGAGCGCTGAGCAGTTACCTGATTCAAATCTTAGGGTCCTTGCCATCCTGGAGACACTGAATTTGGTTTTATATAATTTTTCTTTAGAGGTTCTGGCTAGTCCTGGTCGCCCTTGGCTGATGGGCAGATGGGCTGTCCAGTCTGACCTCCCCGCATGCCTGCTTGTCTGAGGGCGTCACTGAAGCAGCGACTGGGCCCTTGTCCCTCCCAGAGCCTCACTGAAGCTCTTTTCCCAGAAGATCTGCACTTCTCCTACGGCCTCGCGGTCTCCCTGTGCTCCTTTGACCCTGGATGCGTGTGAACTTGAGTTTTAGTGTCGCTACCACCTTCCAGTCCCTGGCGCTGTCCCTGCATTTGTGGTTTCTTAGGTGCCTCTGTGGGGACGACGGAGCGACATGTGCGGGACTTCATGTCCCTCACGGCGTCTCTGGGAAGCCTGTCAGAGCCAGCCTGTGCCCCAGAGCCTGGCGCGGTGCACGTCCAGGCTTCTGTTCAGCATCGAGGGCTGTCTGTGCTCAGTGCTTAGGAGACTGCGATGAGTAAAATCTGTCTTCCCTGGAAGAATTGATGATAAGTGAGACAACGTTTTAAATAAACTGTGATACTGCAGTGGAGATATTTCCAAAGAGCTACGGGAGGGCAGAGTGGGGAGTGACTAGCCCCATGTGGAGACATCAAAGGAATCTTTGGGAAAGAGGTGATAACTGAGTCGAGCCTTGAAGATGAAGAGAGAATGGACCTGGTGACGCTTGCAACATTTGCAGAAGCCTAAGGGGGGTGGATTCAGGTGGCTGGAATATAAGAGAACTTTGGGATCAAAGGAGAGGCGATTGATGAGACTAGATTCATAAGGAGGCCAGGTTTTTAACGGCCTGTAGTTTATGCTAAGATTCAGTTTTGTGGGAGGGAAGCCACTGGAGGTTTTCAGGCAGGGAGGTGATGTGATTGTATTTTGGGAAGCCAGTTGTGGAACTAGGCTGAAAGGGGAGAGTCTGGATCAGGGACGCCAGGAAACTCTTGTAGTAACCTAGGCTTGGCTGGAGGCTGAGTTAAAGATTAGGTCAGTGGGGGTGGGAAGGAGGGGGCGAGTCAGAGAGACTGCAGAGACAGAGTTAACCTGACGCAACGACTAGTTGTTGAGAACAGGAGACGGAGTTGTTGAGGATGACTCGGTTTTCTATTTTGGGTGGATGGTGGTGCCAGTGGTAAAGGGGAAATATAGAAGAGGAATGTTTTTTTCTCTTTTTTCTTTGGGGGGGTAATTGGGTTTATTTACTTTTGTATTTGGAGGAGGGACTGGGGATTGAACCTAGGACCTCCTGCATGTTAAGCATGCACTCTACCGCTGGAGCTATACCCTTGCCTCTAGAAGAGGAGTGTTTCTGAGGGGGGAAGATAGCACGTGTTTTGGATCATGTTGAATTTGGGGGCTCTTTGGCACTTAGCAGACAGGTGGAAATGTGGGTCTGGTTCAGAGGAGAGTCTGTGCTCTGGGGGTGGCAGGTGGAAGTGGTAGTCAGTGCTGTTGGAATGGATGAGCCCAGCCACGCTCATCGAAGGCTGAGGATGCCGGCAGAGAGGAGAGGGACTGGTGGGCAACGTGCGACAGAATGTCGTCCAGGGGGCGACAGAGGAAGAAGTTGCAGGAGGAGAATCAGCAGCCTGTGTTACTATGGGAGGTCAGGCAGGAGGAGCTTGGAAGATGCACC